GATCCAGAGGAGACATCAACAGGATCTGCTAGACCAGTATCACCAACACTGAATAATGATCCTTTAGGAATCGCTGCTGATATTTTTGGGTAAAACTATTATCTTCTTGTTTGATAAATTGCAGTAATTAACAACTATTCATAYTCAYATGGTCGCCAGTGCCTGACATATCAGCAGCGTATTTGTGAGGAAGTCAGCTACGGTCAAAGTATTAATATGTACCTATAACAGTCTTTCTSAAGGCGTCTCACAATCAATGTTCATACTACACTTCCAAGGACTATTGTACTGTATTTATTTCATTGTGTTGATACCATATAGGTTTTAAACATTTTTCTTTCTTGTACAGCTATAGGGTACCTGAAGACCAGTTGGAAGAAGTGTTTCCTGAAGGTACTTCACGATAACAACTGAATAATAATAATACTATGATAGAATTCTCATAAGTGATGATGTCATATTTTCAAGTTTCACATAATTTGATTTTAGGAAGTGGCAATATTCTCGCAGAGAACTTCTATCCTGAATGGTTTTTGTTAGAGAAACATTGTGACACAAAGTAAGCAACTTCAACTGCTTTCCTTTCTTTTCTCATATTTCTTATCACCTCAAGTAACTCATTTTACTGTAATATGCCTAGTATATATCAGGCATTGTTTAGTGTATTCATGAGAATACAATATGGAGAGTGTTTGCTGCTATTGGAAAACTCTCTAGTTAACTCTCTATGGTTGTTGCAGTTTTGATACTATGAAGCATGGTTTGCATCACCTAAAAGATGAACAGATGAACAGGGCAAAAGGACCACTAGCTTTTGTCAAAGAGAATCTGGCAACATTTCTTGACTCTTTAGACACTTTGATTAGTATCCTTAATGACTGCCTATCATGACTAATACAATTAATGGATGGATAGGATATAGTGCATTAMGTTGGGCACTGTAGTATATTAAATGATTGTAAGAATGTGACTTCAAKGCATTTCATGGTCTTTAACATTAATTCAGCTGTCCAGAAAAAAATGCTGAGAGATGAGAGTGACTGTGATGGGGGCTCAATTGCTGAGAGGCTRGAGAGTATACTTCAAGGTACGTTAGTGTATAAACATCAATGTATACATTCAGTGTGCATTTATACTAAATCAACTAAAACTGTTATTTACATTGTAAACTAATCATTTAATTAATGATTACTAAATGACAGGTGCCAGTAAGAATGCTGATGCATTATTCCAGGATGTTTTAAGTCGAAAAGATGATGCTGATAGGACAAGAAATGCTCTTAATGTCTTACARAGGTTTCGATTCTTATTCAGTCTTCCAACCAGTATTGAGAGAAACATAAAGCAGGTTAGTTTATTATAATTCTTTTATTCTTTATTCATTAATTCATTCTACCTATTCATTYAATTGTTTGTTTGTTGTTGTTCTTGTTTAGCAAGTCAGGCAGCCATTCATTTCCTCATTCTTTTAATAATTTCTGTCAATTTAGGGTGAATATGAAATGGTTATCAGCGATTATGCCAGAGCTAAGTCATTGTTTGCTGAAACTGACATCAAAATCTTTAAAAAAGGTAAGTTTTACAGAACTGTCATCATTAGTTAGATTGAACCAATTACAGTGCACTATTTACTAGATAAATATTGATATGAAAAAAATATAATGATAAGCAAAAAAAGTTTGTGAAAGATGTAGAGTAAAATAAATGACGTGGACAAAGGGCAAGAGCTTTCAACTTGGCCATCTGAGGTACTGAAGTATTGTCATCTATTGTTTTGTAACAGTACTTCAAGAGGTAGAGACAAAGATTGAATCTTTTAAAAAGGTCCTCAAGAGTAAAGTCCAAGAGTTTCCTTCTCCAYTAGAAGAACAGAAAAGGTTCATCAGGTATATGTACTATACAAATTTATCTTATGCAGTAGTTATATTTAATATTATATTAGAGATTAGAATGATAAATAATAGATTCACTTGGATATATATATAGATATCTAGTTGAGTTAGACTATGTTGGTGATCCTGCCTGGGAATGTCTTGTCAATCAGCATGCTTGGCTACTCAAGTTATTGACCAGTTGTCAACGAGATCATCAGTCTAAAGGTATACTTTATGACATGACTTTAATAATTAATTGATGATTAATTGCATGAATGAGGGTTTTTTTACAAAAAAATCAGTGTTAATCTATTAATTTGACTGCAAATCAGCATTTATARTTTTGCTCATAAATTTTATTTTATAATCTACAACACCTGTATATAACATTAACCAAACATTTATTGAATTGATGTAGACTTGGGACCATTCCTTCAAGTGGATGGTGCTGGTCCAGACACTGATCACATGGACGTTAGAACTCCAGGTATGATTCCATAAAGACGAAATATTGCTAATGTGTTCATTGATAGATTTGTATTATTTATACACGTCGTACTATCATTTAATGCATGTTAATTTTAGTTGTTTTTAGACCTGATTCACCTTCCCTTGGTAGAAAGGGGACAGGAAGTAAACCATCTACTTTAGACAGACAGTGTAAGTTATTCCTTTGTTCCTTCCTTCCTTCATTCCGTCCCTTCTTCCTTCCCTTTTTCCTTCCCTCCTTCCTTCATTCCTTCCCTCCTTCCTTCATTCCTTCCTTCCTTCATTCCTTCCCTCCTTCCTTCATTCCTTCCTTCATTCCTTCCCTCCTTCCTTCCTTCCTTCCTTCATTCCTTCCCTCCTTCCTTCCCTCCTTCCTTCATTCCTTCCCTCCTTCCTTCATTCCTTCCCTCCTTCCTTCATTCCTTCCATTCTTCCTTCATTCCTTCCATTCTTCCTTCCTTTCGTTCTTATTTCCTGACATTCATTCATTTCTTCTATTAATGTTATGCAGTCAGGAGTACTCAGTCCACACCCCAACGTGTTCAGTTTGTTGAAGAGTTGTCTGAACTTGTGACGGAAACACTACCCGATCTGTGGAAATTGGGACAAGCATACTTCAGCCAAACTCTACTTGGAGAGGTAATTGTGATGTGGTGTTTTAATGATTTGGATCTCATTCTGATTAGAAAGGTTTTTGGCCATTCCTTCATTCATTGTCATTATAAACTTCAAATAAAAATCAATATTCATGTCTGCAGGAATCCAGTACATCAAGCAAACAGTTGACACCAACACCAGAGAAGGAAACCAAATACCAAGTAAACCATCCATCTATCTCTCCAGCTCTAAAAAATCCATTTCTTAATATGTCCATTGTTTTATTTTCCTAATTCATCCATTTCTTCACTTAACTCAAAGTATGATCATTTAATTCTCTCATTTCATCCATTTTTTCACCTAACTAACATTATAACCATCAATATCTCACTGTATTTATTGTTTATTCATTTCAGTCAATGATCAATGAAGTTACATTTCTCTACACCAACCTTGTGTYGTCAGCTTTCTTTGCTAGTTCAGTAACAAACCTCTTAACTGACAAACAAACCAAGTGGTCAACTAACATGGAAGGATTGGCT